AGGCTTGTTTTGACTGTCATCTGTGTTCCAGAACCCGATTGCAATACATCATCCTCTCTGTCTGCCAGAGGACTTTCCATTTCTTCATTTTTAAAGTCTCTTCTCCAGGAGCTGCTCCTTTCACTTCCTCTGTCTTTTCTGAAAGAAGCCTCTAATGAGCTGCTCATTGGCAGAGCAGACATGATTGGCATTCCTTCACCCAATGAATGGGCAACACCTTCCTGCCTGGGTTAGTAGCTCTATCCCCTTCTCCAGCATCCTCTCCCTCATTTCCTATCCTGGATTCTCTTCTCAGATCCCATCACTATAGGATTTAACAGTAAAGATGTGGCCAAGCATGGTGGCTCATACCTGTAATCCCAGCACTTTGGGAGGCCAAGGTGGTTGGATCACCTGAGGTCAGGAGATTGAGACCAGCCTGACCAACATGGGGAAATCTCATCTCTATTAAAATACAAAAATTAGCTGCATGTGGTGGCGGGTGCCTGTAATCCCAGCTCCTTGGGAGGCTGAGGCAGGAGAATCGCTTGAATCCCGGGAAGCAGAGGTTCCAGTTAGCCGAGATCGCGCCACTGCACTCCAGCCTGGGCCATGGAGTGAGACGTGTCTCAAAAAAAAAAAAAAAAATAGTAAAGACACTTCAATACGTATTAACTACTACAGTTCTAATTTTCACAAAGGATAAGGAAATAACATCACAACTAAATGAGAAGTAAAATTTAACTTCTTACATTGTTCTAAAAATTATATGCAGTATACATTATACATATATAAATGTTATATATGCATATAAAACATTTCTTATACTATTATTATAGCACATATATACTCATTTAATCATTATAACAATTCTGTGAAGTGGGTGGTATCAGTCCCATTTCTCATATAAGAAAACTGGAGGCCCAGAACAATAAAATCACTTGTTTGAGGTCATAGAAGCAGTAAGTGGTAGAGCCAGGATTCAAACCTAGCTCTAGTCATGCCCTCAATCCACACACTTTAGGTAGAAGAGTTCGGAGGAGAAATAGCTGAGAGCTAGCATGGGCAGGGAAGGTGTCCTGGCAAGGGAGTGACCCAAACAAGACATAAGGGGATAGACAGCTTTAGAAAGAAAAGAAGAGAGAGAGCGTACACGAGCTATTGAATCAGAAACTCCGGAGGTGGCCCAGCCATCTGTGTTTTAACAAGCCTTGATTCTGATGCATACTCAAGTTTGAAACCAATGAATTAATTAATGCACATCAAATGCTTCGAGAACTGTGCCTGGCACATACTGCTGCTCCATCCGTGTTAAATATTATTAGCTGTAGGGCCTACAGATCTTCATCTGTGGATCTGACTCCACCCAGGTCCTGCCCTGGTCTCCTGAGACCCTTAGGGATCTCCACCCTGGCAGTGTGGATCGTCTGCTTTGAAGCACGTCTCTGCAGGTCTTCTGCAATCTCCCCTGACCAGTTTGCCTTGCACAGGGAGACTCTGACCCAGCTGCCTGCTAGGCCTGAAGTCTGCCCTGAAGCGTCGCCTACTTGGTAGGGCCCACACCCTTCCCAGGTCTTGTCTTGGCAGAAGACACCCTTCCTTGTTGAAGCTGGTGCTTGCCTAAGGCTTTGCCTGTGAAAATGCCTCCAGGTGCCTTAAACCACCCTCTCAGCCCTACAGAAGAACTCAGAGCCTGGACCACTGCCCCCCAAACCGCTCTTTCTTTGTGTACCCAAAGAGATTTTGCATCAACTAAATATAAGAAGTGGATGTGTATGTTATTCTTTTAGCTATAAACTATTCCCCTTGTCTTTGGTGGATATGGTCCATGATTTCCAGTGGTTGCCTGAAACCACAGGTAATACTGAACCCTATATATACTGTTTTTTCCTATACATACATAGGGTATGTATAGAGTTCAATTTATAAATTAGGCACAGTAAGAGATTAACAACAATAGCTGATAATAAAATAGAACAATTACAACATGTCAGCATCACTACTCTTGTGCTTTGGGGCCATTGTTAAGTTAAATAAGGGTTACCTGAACACAGGCCCTCTGACACCAGGTAGTTGATCTGATAACTGAGATGGCTGTGACTGACTAACAGGTGGGTAGCACAGACAGCGTGGACACGCTGGACAAAGCTATGACTCGCTTCCCAGACAGGAGGGAGAAGGATGGCGAGACATTTCAACGTGCTACTCAGAGCAGTGTGCAATTTAAAACTTAAGAACTGTTTATTTCTGGAATTTTCTATTGAATATTTTTGGATCGTGGCTGATTTCAGGTAAATGGCCAACTTGATGCCTCCCCAAATATAGTAACCCCCTCCCCACCATCTTCAGAAAATGAAACTGCAGATAAGGGAAGACTACTGTATTTGGGGAGACATAAAGTTGGGCCATTTTATCCACAGGGTCCATTGAATTAGATATTGCCAACTATTTACTTAAACAAAAACTGTATTAACTGTTTCAGTTTAAAACGTGTGCAGCATCACTTTGCTGCCCGCGTGATTATGGCGACGTGACTATGCCTCATTGATTTGGGCCACAGGCAACTAGGACCGATAGGAACTTGGCAATATCTAGAGACCCACTTCCTGGATCCCCCTGCTGTGGGGCAGGGGGCCTCACCTATGGGGTTTTTTTAGAGCGTTCCAGAGACAGAATGCTGGAAGAACAGACTAACCAATTTAAATCAGGGCTAGATGCAAGGCCACCTTCACGGTCCCCATTTGGAAATGTTTAATCATTTTTGAACAAGGAGTGTGGCATGTTTAGCTCACAGGGCTCCAAGAATTAGTAGCTAAGATGGTCCTACTAAGACGTCTGTGCTAGAGAGGGGGGAACAAAAGAATAAAGAAACAGAAACCAAAGTTGCTAGATAAGATCTCCATCAGCTTCTTCCAGGTCCTGAGTTCTCAACTTTAACCTCAGTGACTTTCCCTTAACCGACCATGTCACCAACTTGTAGTCATTAAGAGTGCAAACTCAGACTGGTTCGGTTCAAAAAGACTGACTGATCTGGTTCAAAACCTAAGTCTACAATGAATCAGCCCTGGCAACTCTGTCCAAGTTCCCCAACTGCTTTATGCCTCTACTTGCTCGACTATAAAGTGGCAAAACCAATCATGGGCATCTCTTTCCAGGCCCCAGATGTGAAACTTCCTGAGGAAATTAGAATGGGGTGCTCAGCGGAGTGCACTCATGTAGTGAGTGCTTGTGAATGTCAGCTTTACACGTAAGGTTACGTGTTTTGCCACAAAGTCTTTGACAAGAGCAGAAAACTCAGGTCACACTGAAAAAAGGCACATGCTGATGACTTTGCCTTTTCTATCCCAGAGAAGGACCTGTGAGGAATGACCTACTTCCTCTGACCTCCTGTTGTTGCTGCTGGTTTAAATGTTCTGTTGTTGCTGCTGTATTTATTGTAAATCTGTAGTAACAGGTACCTGAGTTTTTTTTATCTTATATTCAAAGTTAGCAGAATTTATGGAAAAGAGGATGCGGATGGGTGGGGCTGTGGGGCAAGCTCTATAAAGGGAGCCAGAGGAGCGGGCCCTGCCCAGACTTAGCTGTGCTTGTAAACAGGACCAGGCTCCTGTAACTGTGTCAATCTTTAGAGTTTCCTTTTTTTTTTTTTTTTTTCTGTTCTAGAGAGTTGGAGAGAGGTTGGAGTGTTTATCTTTGTTTGCTTCGTAAACTCTCTTTTGTCAGATTTTACAGGGGAAAAAGATTTGCCTTCCCTGAACCAAGATGGCTGAGAGATCAGAGAGAGCAGAGCAGTTATGGAAAATGATGGGAGAGTCTCATCTTCTCTCTCTACCACCACCAATCACCGCCACCTCCTCCTCTGAGGCTGAAAGGAGAGGGGGATAGGCAGCCAGAAAGACACCTGAGAGCTTCTCTCTAGGGAGAAATTTCCTCAGCCCGTTAAAGAAATATATATATTCATGGACGGGCACAGTGGCTCACGCCTGCAATCTCAGCACTTTGGGAGGCTGGGGCAGGTAGATCACAAGGTCAGGCGTTCAAGACCAGACTGGCCAAGACAGTAAAACCCCGTCTCTACTAAAAATACAAAAATTAGCCAGGTGTGGTGGCACCCGTAACCCCAGCTACTTGGGAGGCTGAGACAGGAGAATTGCTTGAACCCAGGAGGCTGAGGTGGCAGTGAGCTGAGATTGTGCCACTGCACTTCAGCCTGGGTGACAAAGTAAAACTCCATCTCAAA